TCGGTCAAAGTGTGACACTGACGAGGAACAATCGTTCTAGGCGAACTGCTAATTCATCGCGCTCCAAAAACGAGAATGAGTTGATTCTTGACCGCGACGAAGTGGAAGTGCTTCCGGACAAATCGATGGTGGGTCAAGGTTCGCTGAAATTGATCAGCGATTGGAACGTTCACTCGCCTCGATCGCCTCGCCTCACCTCGTCTCGCCACGTGTACGATTCCCGAAACATGCGAATCTGTCGGTCGACTCTCACCGCAATCCTCCGACGACGGGACGTAAGAAGAGCGATTCGGGCAAAACGCGTCATCGCGTTCAGTGCAAAACCGCCAGTTTCAGGTGCAGCTTTCACATTCTCGCGCGCCCTGACCGACGAAGGAGGAGGCATTGCCCTGCAGGTGCAGTGCCCGTCCACCTTCAACCGGCCTGACCGATGGCGTAGCGCGCAAATTTTTCGTCCATTCACCCGTTATCTTATGAACTTTTAAACGCTCGGTTTCACCAGCTTTCCACGGGACGAATGCAATTCGTTGAATTTTTAACGAGCTTCAACTGCAATTTGTTTTGTTAAATAATCTTTCAGCCATTAATTCCCTTTTTTAATATTTTCATTAAAAAATCGATACGATGTTAATTTAATGTTATCTCAAATCTGGTGAAGAAAAAAGGAAGTGTAAATTTAAATATAGCTGCTTTTATAACTTTCACTTGCCAATATAATAAAATGTCACAAAAAAAAACAAAAGTTGTTTAAGAACAAGAAATAAAAAATCACGAAAGTATCTATTTTTTGCGAAATTTCAATTTTAGAATTTATAAGATTAAAAATTGGACGATGGTACTGGCACAAACTCGATAGACTGTTAACTCGTGCGTTACTACTCCGGATGTGCGCGATGTGAGGAGGTAAAACGTGCGAACGTGGATCGCGCATCGCGGCGCAGCCGCAATCGCGGCAATTAATCTCTGCCCGACCGATCTCCTGAAACTGCGATTCCCAAGCGAATTAATTACCGCGCTGCCGCGCGCCGCCACGGTAAATAAGTTAATCGCCGCGTGCTCGCAAAAATACAAACGACGCAGAAGGGCGTTGGTCCCCGGGATGACGCGTCGCGCCGCATTCTCGTGGAACGACGCGGCAGCGCGCGCTTCTCGCGCGACGCACCTGCATCGCGCGGAAGCCGTCGTATTAAGCTCCTCTCCATTGCATCACCGCAACGGCCGACCACGGCTGCCGTGGCGTTGCGTTGCAATGAGCAAAAACGTAATTTACGACAGCGGCGATGCAACGAGCGAGAACAGGACAAAGAGCAACCACCGGCGGAAGACTGTCCTTTTTCCTTCTCTTCAAAATTCTGGACTCGTCAGTCAAAATAACAAGGTTGCCGAATTCGGTAAAAAAAAGTCGCTCACTTCGACCCAAACTTCTTTGACGAAGAACTCTGCTCCATACCTGTTAAGATTCTTTTCGAATTCTCTTCATTATTGAATTTCTTAATCCACGCATTTCTACTTGTCGAGAGAAATCATTTTGATATGTTTATCCGAGCTATCTTGACATTTAATAATACAATTTGTTTAATTAAAAAATTTGTTTTCTGATGTATACATGGAGGAAAAATTAAACTCATCAAAAAGTAATTTCGTAAAAATTTACTATAATATGTAGCAAGATTACCTCAAACCAATAATTATGACTTTTCCTTATCCAATTTTAAATATTTATATTAAAGAATTATGCGTGTGAATATGTAATTAAAATTTGAAGAAATAATTTAATTTCAAATTCTATATCTAATATGTTCTTTCGACATTGTATACCGCGAAAGATTAAGGAAGCAACGCCGAGGAGACATTCTCTCTCGTCAAGTTCCACCTTCACAGGAAGAATCCTTTTGAAGCTGCTTGAAGAGACAAATAAAGCAGAAGCGCCTCTGTTATTCCTGTGTCTACCAAGAAGATAAAAAAGAAAAAGGGATGACGGAAAGGAGGGAGAGACGAAAGGAGGGACGAGGAAAGGTAGACGTACATACGTCTCTCCCTTGCCTTCCAGATGCGCGATTGCTTCTAATTGCCCTCTGGGTGACCGCGAGGTGCCTCCAAAGTGAAATTGCAGCGGCGAGGAGCAGGCAACGGGTTCCGAATAAAAAGAGCGCATCGGAGAAGAAGCGAGCGACGCGTACGTACACGACGAAGACGGGAAAGATTGGTCGTGATGCCCTCTTCTCGAGAGAACGGCGAGAACGATCCCGAGCGTTTTCGCTAATTAACCTGCGGTTCGGGCCGCGCGCTTTTGTATCGCGTCGAGAAACCCGCAACACCATCTTTATAGCACTAAAATTCGGTAAACGCTCCGCGGTAAATCTCTACGTGAAATACAAAGTTCGGCTTGCGCTTCCTTCGATCAAAGTTAAACCTGCAGTTTCGTCCGTATGGAGCTGGTGTTTTCTACCCAAAGTTCCAATCGATTTAGGACGTTGCTTTATTACACGAGCATTATGCAGCGATTGTTCATCGTAAATAATTAGTAAATCGTCAATATTACGCAACAAATTATTGCTTTGCTTCGACTTGAAAGAAAGCTCGACGCTATAAATTTGACTTAATAGTATGTTTAATTTAATTAATGTACATTGATAATATATAATTTTAAATGTAAGCTTAATGAAGCATTACCTAACAAATAAGTATATGTTATCAAAATACATGTTAATTTGAATCATAAGGGAGTATCATTATTGAAAAGTAATTATCTTTAATGGTTAATATAGCTACAATAATTGTTATTATTATTATTATTATTATAACTGTTCTAATTATATTGCTAGTATTTACGACTCAATTCGGCCGCAATCTCGAGGAGTCTCGGCAGATCCAATCTGCCGATTACGACCCACAAAAGTTGAGTCCACGGCAAAGATAGTGTCTTAATCACGATGCTCGCCCTAAAAGGAAGTTGGCCAGTCACGGGAACGAAGGTCGCGTGTAACATCCCCCATCAGCGAAATTTTTCTCGGGAAATTATCATCTCCGCGAGCGGCGACGGTGGCGGTTGCGAACAGGCCGATCGAAGTAACCGATAACCGTTTAATGTGCTCATTAAAATAAAATGTAAATCGTACCGCACGCTGGTCCAAGGTCTGCCGCCGCAGCAGCGCTTAAAACGTCACTCCAGCCGAGTCAGGACGAAAATAAAACGAGCGTAGCGTAGGAGATCATAAGTCGCTACAATTAATATCCGGCGGCCCGCAATAATCTCTCTCGGTACAGGATCCCCGAACGTGAACACGATTCACCGCGAGGGAAGATCGAAGAAGAGAGAGAGAGAGAGAGAGAGAGAGAGAGAGAGAGAGAAAGATGGGCAGAGAGTGAAAGAGAGACGGAGGAACAGGGAGAACGCGAGGGAGACTTCCAATTTTTGCGACGTTTTTGCAACCTGCGCAGCAACTTTGTTATTGATGGCCGCGATGTTGAGCGCACAGAATAAAGAAGGTAGGCGTTTCCACCCTCGGTTTCGCCTCGCGAATCCCGCGCAACGATCTCCGCGGACGTTTTTCACTTTACGAGGCTATTGCTTGCAAGGCGCAGCCTCGAAGGTAGTGCCGTCGCCACGATTCGAGACGTACGTACGCCGCTCGTCGTCTTGTAAAAGTCAATATTTATGAGGGTGCTAACCACCGTCATCGCTCATCCCGACTCGTTAGCCGACTCTCCGCCGGCGCGGCTTTGTGTTTACATCCGAAGGACAGGCATCCTCTCTTTATTGTCCCTAAAGAAAACACGTCCACCGTCGCGCTACACGTCTGTGGATCCTACTGCTGTTGCCGCTGCTGAATGCCCGGTACGTGCCTGGCCTCAGGCCGCCAGAAATCGCGTCCGTTTATCAGCATATATTCGTACGCGCTGTCAGCTGTCGACCGTATACTTTCAAAAAACACGCCAATTGTCGCTTTAGACCCATGAAACTAATTCGCGTGACTTTAAGACTGAAATTTTACTTATTGATCGCGCATGCACGCGCATTGCAAGTTTGAAATAAAAATGAGAAATAGCAGAGTTACCTAATTTAACTTCAAAGAACTTTGCTAATAAGCTAGCTATACTCTTGAAATGGTACGGTTATAGTTATGGCAGCGAGATCGTACTTTCTTGTTCAGGAGAAATGGTGCACGATATGAATTATAAAAATAGATATATTTTCAAATTGTTTCAATTATAATTAAATATTACATTTAGAGCAAGTAGATAGGCACGTCGGTAATATTCGTTTTTGCTTAGTATAAGACTGCATACTTTCTCTCAATTGTGGTTTCTATATCGAAGTATTGAGATAATTCTGCAGTAATAAACGAGTAAAACCAATTTTTGCGAATTTAACTTCAGTGCTACCATTGATACTTTCTACTTTCATTTCATCTTACAATTTTGCTTTATCAGAATTTTAATTCAAGACTAGATTACTAGCCTTGAATTAAAAGTATTTAATATTAAAATCGTACGTGTCAAAATATGTTTTATCTTGCTTTATCAAATTATTCGTTAAAAAAAAAATGTCAATCCTAATAAACGAAGAACCAATAATATCAGGATTTATGTTTGACTTATCGCAATTGCATTTTATCATTCAAAGTTTGTCACATTTTCTGTTTTTCTCAGGAAGGTTACGAATTCGCGCTATATGAATGTGACACACGACGGATGGAGAAAGACAAGGTGCTTCGCAGAAGCAACAGGTGTGTAAGTACGGTAAGTCAGTTCACGTGCCGCCATCTCCCACGGAGTTGCTCAACGTGCCTTTCGTTTACTCGGGTCTAGTCCGTCGATAAGAACGCACGTGCGTTCAGTAACGTACAGCGCAAATCATAGATCTCGTACCATACGTTTTATGGTTCTCTTAACGATGTTTCACGATTCAATATTTTCGTCAAAGTCCTCTCTGATCGCCATTTTGTATTACGCCTCGAACTCAACATGCCAAATTTGTAATTATGTCATTGACTCACCCGCTGGCAATGCTCCGCGCTGACCCGCGACAGATCCGCGAGGGGCGAAAAGATAACATCGTGAAATTCAGGATACCTCCGTGCCAACGGACGTGCGTACAATTCTTTGGCGCTGCACAATACTTCATGGTATTCTTCTTCCGCGTGCAACAACTTCTCTGTAGCTCTGTACCTGCGATCGGTGTCTGTAAAACAAATTTCATTTCGATTTCGTCAGAATGGCATTATCACGTCAGCAAGCAATCATCTTTACGCAGACTATGATTAAACGAATTTTATATTATAAATCTTATAATTGAACCTTTAAGTCGCAATTTAATAAACTTGATTTTTCTTACGTTATGTAATTTCTTAAAATTAAGAAACAAAGGTTGTCAATTATGAAAAAATTAAGATTAATTACCTCCGATCGCGTTGAACTGCCTTGCAGAATCCTCGATGAGTAGGACTTCGCCATGCAGAAGAGCTACATCGGCCGCGGGATCGACTTCGGCCCTCGAACCAGCAAGCAGCAATCGAGGTCTGCAAACTCGATATTTCAAAAGTATCGGGGCGACCACTGAAGAAACAGCTCCAGGCGACGAGGCTGATAACTATAATTAATAAAAAAAAAACAAATATTGCATAAGAACATTGCTAATTCTTTCGAATCATCGGAATTTACTTATTCAAGAATCGATTCTCGCTCTTCCCCAAATAATTTCTACTTCTTTATACGTTCCAAAACAGTTAATGTAACTTCATAACTTGTAACTTATGTAATTCAAGTTGTCAAATCATGATATTGGAAATAGACGATATTGGAAGTTTAAATTTATTATCCGACTTCGAAATACAATTAATAAAACAGAGTCATTTCACAAATAAATTATCGAAATAATAAAAATCCTGTCACGTCGGAAAATTAGATATTTCTTGCAAAATTGATTTGGGGTGAAATTGCCTTTGTGCAGAGAGGACCGGTCTGCTCGCGAGACGAAAAGTTCGGAATGTCCTAATTACACGGGGGAACGCTCGCCTTGCAAAAAGCGTCGGATGTCGGGGCCGGACGTCCCATAACTTCGCACGGTAGCCCCGGCGGGTTAATCACCGAAATCTCGGTTGAGGAACGCGAAAACAGCGCATAATTAAACCGGGTTCGCGCGATATTTACGGTCTGACAATGTAAACGGCGGCGCGAAGGGGGATCAGATAAATTTCGAGGGACCCGAAAGTCTACATTGCAAAAGATGGTGCGTCGACCTTTCGGTGGCCCCTCGGTGGACCTCGCGGTCCACCAAGTCGTACACAGGGCGACTCCCCGAGCGCTCGTTGCATCGCATATGAATATGTATGATATGATAATTGTTCAGCCATAATTCGCACGTGAATTCTCCAGAAATTCCAGCATATACGTGGAAGACGCGATGGAAATACAGTTGCTTTTTTACACGGTAAATTCACAATTTAACGACCTGGGGGTGGCGGAGTCGTCAGTTGAAACCAAGGGCTTGTTAAAGTACAAACAAACTCTTTCGAGCCTTTAGACGTATGGGGATTATAAAATATTCAAATAGATAATTATACTGTGTATGCTGTTATATTATATATATTTTTCATAGAAACGACAAATCAAAGTTTGTCTGCACAGAATTCCAGCATCAACGATTTTTGAAACTTTAAAAAACATCTTGTGTAAAATAATAATAAAAAGGAAACTGCACAATTTCTATAAGATTTTAATAATGTCTCCATTGAGAATCTTTTGCCTTTCCTCAACTTATTACTTCTTAAATTTTAATGATGGCCATCATTGCTTAAACTTTACTTCACTGGAAGTTTACGAGTATTGCTAGATAGTTGTAATAACAGACTGGTCTCCAACCCTAATATCATATAAAGATGCCGCGGGATTATATGACCGTTACATAATGTGAATCGAAGGTCAGGTCAACACGTCGTTCTTATATATTACGTAACATCTCGCAACCGTTTTCGTGATCGTTATTAAAGGAAGACCGGAGCATCTTCATCGATACGGTGAAAAACGGGAATGTAATTCCGCCGCACACATTACCGTTGCACACTGCCCAGCCTTAGTTTACAACGTATGCCATCGACGGTGATTATCGATGGTCCAATGCGTCGCGACAATGCAATTTAATCGTGTTTTAGCAATATGGCTAATTGCTATAATAGTAGAATTATTGAAGCCAGAATTATTGCCAGACTGAAAATCTACAATATAGTTTAATATCTACAAACTTTACACGTCAATTTTATCAAATTTGAGGGAAAAAATCAATTGATGATTTGCAATTATACCCAAAAAAAATCTCCGTACACTCAAATTTAAATTTACTTATTTTCGTAATTTACTTATCTTGGAATCAAGTTAAAATTTCCAATACTTTGTATTCCAATGAAATATTCTCTCATTCAAAATCCCTATATATAATGTCATATATGCGGAAGAATAATTCCAGGAATCAAACTCAGATTTTTTTCACTTGACAAGCAACTTCTCTAGCACTTATGAGCTATCCTATATCCCCGACATCGGACACCAATTTGTTTCTAATCGCGGGTAGGCAAACAAAGTTCCCTTTATGTTCCTCGTGTCGGGGAAGGGCAGAAGAAGGGAAAGGGCAAGAGGGATTAAGGAAGATGATACGTTACGATCGCATGATCTCCAGGGATCGACGATACGATCGCTATGATTCGTTGGAATCCGGCAGTAAGCAGGCTTACACTTTAAGTGCACCGTTAATCAGGTTGCACTTTGTTCCCCTTCCACATTTTTAATACAGCATTTGATGCAGCCAATTCAAGCATTCGGCGTTTTTCCTCGATTTGCATACGAACACATGTATAATGGAGATCATTCTTTTCGACCAGGTCCAGACGGATATTATAATAATACAAAGCGGGTCGCCGTTAGAAGAGCCGTATTAATTAGCGTTCGTGCCGTCGCGCCGTTGTAACGGACTTTGTGGTAATTTTCTAATCCCTGCGTATTCGCATACATGTTTATTTTTGAGCCGTCAACGAGTTTGACGAGTTGCACGAGTTATCGCGTGACTTTACATTTATGGTTGAAAATAATTAATTATCGGCTATAATCAACATCTATTAACTCTATCAAATCATAAAATCATTCTATTTAATATCAGTTCTCTATGAGAACTGTGACACAACGATTCATTTTGGTTTCATAACAAAAATTTCGAAGCAATTAAAATAATATCGTATCAATATCTCCTCTAATTAGAGTAATATTGTGCTAAAAATACAAATTGTCGTGAATCAGTTGTAACATCGACAATCTCTCGAAATATTGTTGTCTCTTTTCCGCGATGCCGATTGGTTGTCTCGCAGCGGTTACTTCGTGAGCAGCTATCATATTTTAACAGTTGTGTGTACTAAGATTGATAGACTGTGTAGCAAATATAGTAAAAAGTGGAAAAATGGTAAGAAGCGCGCGTCTGCTAATTTTATTTATAAAAAGAGAATATCATATATATACAATAATAAATTAATCAATCAAATAAAAAAAATTCCATTATTAAAATATCGTTCAGTCTGAGACATCCTATATAACTGCCAATCACTAATGATTCCCACGATATTGGCGAAAGTGTCGGTCATCCGTGACCCCGCGACAGCATTGAACTCGTTAAAACGACGTAATGACGATGAGTCGTCGCATCGTCGCGCATCGTTAGTTATACGATTTCGCATTCACGACGGAAGAAAAATTGAGGTGTGTATTTTCTCTATTTAGTTATCTATGACTTGCATTTCAGTCTGACTACATAACGTTATACCTACTCGATTCCTCCTCGTCCCGCTATTGATACCTATGTATATATTCCATCTCTTTCGAGTGTTCTCAACCTATATCACGTACGTACACACGCACGAAAAATACGTAATCGTATAATAATTCTTTCCTGTATAATTCTTATCTGAAAGAGATATTGCGCGAACTTACCAAAATTCGCGAGTATAACGCGTGTCGTCGGGAAGATTCATGGCAGCGTCTCGCGGAGTAATGTCCTCGCGGGATTCTCCGATGTTGTATTTATGCGGAGAACGCGTTATCCCTTCCCTTGGCGACGCACACACACAAGAGTACGTACTCTCGATCGGAGAGAGGAGACCGCGCGTCCACTCTCGCTTTTAATAAAGCCAAACCGGAATCGTAAAGCTGAATCTAAATTGCATAATTATACCGGTCTACGTGTCCCTCCCTTACTCCAACGTGCACGGCTCTTACATCCCCCTCGCCCGTCTCCTTCTGTCTCTTTTTTTCTCTTCTTTCTTTCTTCAATCTTCTTTTTATTCAGTGATCTTTCTTCGAGTGCTCTCTTCTATTCTTGATTAAAAAATATCTTTGATAGAAAGATTGAAGTATCTGACAACGAGAAAGGAAGATATATATATAAACAATCGAATAAACGTGTCGAACGGCCGATGCAGCTCATTTGGCCCTTCGGCTGGCCGGAAATGACTCTTCCGAGATTATAGCTCTCAGAATTTACTTTCTTCTCGACATGGCATACCGTCTCGTCGTCCAATTATTCGGCCCAGTGATTTCGTATGCGCGAAACAACGACATCGCACTCGCATTCTTCTCGGTCAACATTTCGCAAGGTTTCCGCGAACTGGAAAGATGTGCGAGGTATGCATTTCGAATCGAGATACGCTAGAAAGGAGATCACATTGTGCGGCGCGTCGAACTGATCTATCCGCGAATCCGTCACCGCCGTATCGCTCGCTCTCCATGCATTGTTTGGTGAATCACCTGTCGATGTCGTTGCACTTTCCCTGTAATGCAGTACAGCGATCGACGCACCGTGTGCATGATGTACAAGCGTGAATCGCGTGTATATGACATGTATAATCGACAGCAGTCGCAATTCAATGATAGCAGACGCGTGCTCCGTGGAATTTATACGTATACACCTGCGCGAGTAGGTATGCGAACCAATCAAGCGGACTCTTCGAACTCAATTTTTTTGTTTTCTTGGCCGCCACGACAGATGATGGATCTCCATCGGCTGCGTTAAATAGGCAAGTACATGCGCGCGTGTATGTATAATGCTCCGTTCGATACGAAACGCGCATGTATGAGCATCCTGTCCCTCCCAGCCTCATTACGAGACAATGAGCGTCGTTACATCGATCACAGGCCAGGGCATTCTGCCGAGACGGAAGAGAGTAGACTGTTTCGCGTGAGCAGTAGTGGATTTAGAACTCATGTTCTCAAGCCCTAGAGGGTAAAATATTCCCTACAGTATGGAAAAAATCTTACAATTAAAAGAACTGAAATCTCTTTGATTATAAAACTATTTTTCCACTATTATTAAATCTTTATAAGAACAAAGAGACAGTCTGATAACAAGGTCTGAAATGGCTCTAAAAGTTTTCAATATCGTTCACTAACTGAACTACTAAATGTATTATTTATAAATATTTACTAAAAATTAAAAATTAAAAAAAATATATATTTTATGACACAGGTCTATTATGACCAAATTGCTAAATCCGCCACTGAGTTCGAGAGGAGGAATCGAGCGGTCGTTGCGATTAATTTCACCAGGAGATGAAC